ATATATTAAATTTTAGAACTCTTGTATTTTTTAGTTTGGATAAAGATAAATCTTATTCAAAGGTGCTTTAAAACACCCCTTAAGAGTTTGAGTTTTTCACCCAATTTTAAAAAACCACCTAACTCAATTAAACTCACATTACTCATTTTCTTTGTATATGCTACAAGCCCATGATGCACAAGAAATCCGATTTAATCAATTAAGGCAATTTAATCAATATAGTTGTTGATCCTGTCTAACATCCATGTGTCAAATAAAATGATATAGTCATTATTTATTTATATTTTCAATATGATTCTTTCTTTATAGTCCAGAATACTACAAATGAGAGGTTATTGAGGGGCCATTTGACAGCCTAGAGAAGATAGAAGAGTATTGTGGTACATCGTCATCAAGCACGAAAATATTCCTCACGAAAAAGGGCCGCGCAGAGGTGATCTACCACGGCGAGAGTAGGATTATCGAGAGTAATCCTCGTGAGGTTCTCAAATTAACAAAGGTAATAGTCCTCTCCTACACAGAGAAAATACTGGGTGAAAAGGAAATGATGTTCCCGCCAGATGTTTCGATCGCGATCAACTTTTAACTCTCCCTTTTTGCCAATCAAAGGGACATACATCAAGCTCAAGAATAAGTTAAAAATAACACCGCTGCATATGAACACAATAATTGGAATGCTAAAAAGACTCAATTACTAAGGAAACGTAGTGACTGAAATGTTGAGGGTGAGAAAGGAACGAAATAGTTTCTAGTTGGTAACTATAGCAACTGACATATAGAATGAAATCGAAGATCTCAAAATGTATCAAAAAGTTACTCAAAGAAGTAACTAGGTCACAAAATATAGGGAGACACTCCTAAAATGGAGAGATTGTCTGTTCCCTAGTGGAGTTGCTAGAATTATTTTAGTTCTTTTTTAAAATTTAGAGTCACCAGCTTGTGCGACATAATCGTACGAGATAACTGGTCGTGCATAAATAGCAATCATAAGCATATGCACAAGTACAATCATACTATGAGAAGTGATTGTACCTACACATGTGGGGATATCCCAACAGAATTGTGTTCTAGGTGTTAAGATCCAAGTTGACGATATAAGAGTTGGGCTAGTGCTGGGTGAGCTAGCCCTCTCAAACATGCCATGCATTCATCATGGGCATATGGTTACATATGCTCGATGAAAGGGATGTTAAGCTTGCAAATGCAAGTGTGAAGATGCTACACCCATACAACAAACATGATTTGAGTGCATCAACTACAGAACATCCTAGGGGAGATTACACCATTCCCAAAAAGCAACTCAGATGCTCATGTATATGGCAAGCACATACTGCAATATATGATTTAATCATACACAAATGATATCAAGTTTGGTTGCATCACATACATGACACCTTGGGGAAGATTAGAATGTCTCAAATGCAACCAAACATGCTCATGCAAATGACAAGCTTAAGCAATACATGATATGGCATGCACACATGTATACCTCCTACACAAGTTGAATGCTAACAAGCACAAACATGGCAAAATATAATTTTTACACATAAAGGAATGATAACATAGGCATTAAGACAAAAATATTTTCATGCATACGAAAATGCAAACATCAAGTTAAATGTATTTTCACATACAATAAATCAAGAACTATAAGTATCAAATTAAGAATATTTTAATGCATATTTAAAAA